CCTTATCGTGTTAATGTTTAAGGCAAGAATTAATAGAAAAAGTAATACTGAAAATTATACTTAAAATCAAAAATTACTTGAAGCAACTTACTTTTAAGCACATGAAAAATGTTGGACAGTGCTTACAAGCCTGCCCTTTTAAATTTAGATTTACAGGCAATGGGTTTTAACTCATTTATTAGTCTAACTTTACATTTCGATCCCAGTGAAAGGAGCATGTTGAATTCAGCACTAAATCCTTTGTTATAGGGTATAGTATCCTCCATATCATTGGATACTTTTGAGGAAAAGGTTGAAAGCCTAATCTTGTAAGGACTGAATTCTTGCGGCTTCCTCATTGAAGAACGCGTCTTACTTTAGAGAGACTGTTGAGACGGACTTCTTTGAAAGGGGAATACGACTACAAATTAACCCATCAACGAAATTATTTCTTACATCGATATCTTGTTTTCGCATTGAAACATCCAAAGATAGCACATAGTTATCGAGACAAAAGTACAGTAACTTGGCACCATCTAAAAGTACATTTTTCCATTATTTTCCCAATCATATCCTTCTTTCTACCAATTTCTGCTGAATTAATCTGCTTTAGAATTTTTGTTTGAAACTAGTGGGACATTCTTGATTATCAGTAGGCAAAATTTTTGGTGATCCAAATACCAAGAAGAAAGTCATAAACGGTCTACAAAAATCCACACAAATCATTGCGTTTTCTTACAAGAAAATCAAGAAAACTAATACAGTAAAATCATGATATTTCTGCCATGTTCCAAGACCACATTTTCCCCGTTCAAGCAATTATGATTTGACCACGAAGTCATGGAACTTTAAAGAGACAAATCTGAGAAATTTTCATATTGATTCTCTTTCTATGCCATGCATTTAGCTGTATTGGCAAGTTATTTTTACTGTGAGGGAATCTTTGCTGGAAAAAAATAACCTTTTTCCAGAAATTAGAATAAAAAGTTGTAATTGACTTTATCCTTTATGAACCCATCCTTTACCGTTAGTATTAATGATGAGTCTTTGGCCATTGAGACAGAAGAATAAACAAAGTAAAAGGCACAAAAAAGACAATTAAATCTGCTGCTTGTTCAAAAACTTGGACTGTAAATTGTATAAACTAAAGCAACTGCAATTTCTTGGCTCCATTGCCCCCCACCTCACACCGCACGCCACCCAAAAAAAAGTAAAAATAAATAAAGAATAGCAGAAAAAACCCAAGACCAAAAGAAATTACAAATCAGCAAGAAAAAAAAAATGTTCTGCAAAGTAATTGCAGGGGGGATTTTAATCTGGGAACGACTCCAAAGCGCTAGATATCTCACATGTATGGTCTTAATTGTGTTCAATGTAACATACTAAATATT